GCATTTCCATCCTGGCAGGAAATCCAGGTGCTCTGCGCTGTACTGACTCATACAAAGTTTGCATTGGGTCATCCAGTAAACTCAGAGCGTGTTTGTGTTGCTGTTGATGAGTTCAGCTGACATTCTGGCACCGTTATGTGAAAGGAAACAGAAATAAAAAGCCGTGCTCTCCCGCAGTTTGCGTTTTCAGTCTTGCCAAGCGCCGCACATGTGTTAGGTCAAGCGTATAAGAAGAGCCATGAGCCTTCTGATTGGACCAGGAGCTATAGGACGGCGCTGGACAACTTGCCAAAATGTAGGACCTCAATGCACCTCCAGCTCCCCGAGGGATCAGACTTTAACCAAACCAAACCTGGAGCTGGTTTTAATTGAATGTGAAGCTTCGGGTTTCCTGCCATGTTTCACCTCGAATTGTGAAGACCGTACCTTTGCACGCTCGTTGTACACCGCCGTGGTGATATCTTGGGGCTTTATATGAAAGTCAATAAGATCCAGGGCGGACTGACAACTTATGGGGCCCCCGGGCAATAGGGGATCATGGGGCCCCTGTGTCCTTGCCCAAACTCAAAAAAGCCTATAAAAAAGGGACCAGGGGCATCTCATGGGGCCCCCTACTGACCCGGGCCCTCGGGCAGTGCCCAAGTTTCCAAATGGTCAGTCCGCCCCTGCTTAAGGCCATAGATGGTTGTACACCGCCGTGGTGATATTTTGGTGCCAGGGGCGGACTGACAACTCATGGGGCCCCCCGGGCAATAGGGGATCATAGGGCCCCTGTGTCCTCGCTCACAACCAAAAAAGCCTATGAAAAAGACAATGAAAGGTACCAGGGGCATCTCATGGGGCCCCCTACTGACCCCAGCCCTCGGGCAGTGCCCAAGTGTGCTCAAATGGTCAGTCCGCCCCTGGTTGGGGCTTTATACAAAAGTCAATAAGATTGAATAATAAAAGTGTATTACTGGTGGGTCGTAGACAAGAATATCATAAGTTGTAGGACCAGTCATGAATACTAGGACATTTCTATAGTCCTCCCTAAAATAGTTCATCCATCAAGAACCTGGGTGTGTGTAGGCCTTGCTGCCCTCTGCCCAGACGAGGGAAATCCTTAAGCCGGCCATAGATGGTTATAATCTCAGCCAGTTGAGCAGGGACCAGTCAAGATTTGAACAATTTATGGGCAGGCTAAGTGTACCCAAGTCAAGGACTTACATGCGAATATTGCCAGCAGATATAGCCAGTAGCAATAATCACTGTGTTCTCCTGGCAAGAATGGTTCCCCCAAGAGGGAGAAACAATAGTTCTGTGGGAGGGATTCCCTTATCAACACAGTCAGTGTTGATGGGGGAATCCCTCACACAGAGCTATTGTATTTGCCTGGCAGGGCTTCCATCTTCACCCATCCTTCTTCCGGGTTTGCAGGCTGCGGCTTAAATAGCCGACCTGCGATGACGTCACTCCCGTGCATGCGCACGAGAGTCACATTTTATGGCACACAGCTCTGAAGGAACGGCATGGGTATGCTGCATGGCAGTCACCTCTGAAGAAGACCGGCTTTGTTCATCATTAGGAATGATAGAATTTGTGGCGAGAACCAGCATGGCCTTATCAGCAACCCATGTGGATGAGGCCCCAACAGTTCAAGTTCCCGAATCCTTCGTATGAATGTACCAATTTATTTCATACTGCAATTTACATTAGATAACTACAATTACAGTATAGAATAAAAGAAATTAGGTTCTCTTTGCCCCTGTGCTGCGTGGCCGTCACCTCTGAACAAGACCGGTTTTGTTCATCATAATTGCATTAGGGAATTTAGACTTTGTGGCGAGAACCAGTACCAGCTTTACCAGCAACCAATGAGGATGAAGCACCAACAGTTCAAGTTCCCAAATCTTTAATATGAATGTACCAATTTATTTCATACTGTAATATACATTGGATAACTACAATTACAGTATAGAATAAAAGAGATTAGGTTCTCTTTCCCCCTGTGCTGTGCAGCCGTCACCTCTGAACAAGACCAGTTTTGTTCATCATTAGGAATTATAGAATTTGTGGTGAGAACCAGCACTGGCCTTATCAGCAGCCCATGTGGATGAGGCCCCAGCAGTTCAAGTTCCCGAATCCTTCGTATGAATGTACCAATTTATTTCATACTGCAATTTACATTAGATAACTACAATTACAGTATAGAATAAAAGAGATTAGGTTCTCTTCTGAACAAGACGGTTTTGTTCATCACAATTGCATTACGGATTACAGAATTTCTGGCGAGAACCAGCACTGGCCTTATCAGCAACCCATGTGGATGAGGTCCCAAAAATTCAAGTTCCCGAATCCTTCGTATGAATGTACCAATTTATTTCATACTGCAATTTACATTAGATAACTACAATTACAGTATGGAATAAAAGAGATGAACAAGACCGGTTTTGTTCATCACAATTGCAGTACGGATTACAGAATTTGTGGAGCGAACCAGTACCAGCCTTATGAGCAACTCATGTGGATGAGGCCCCAACAGTTCAAGTTCCCGAATCCTTCGTATGAATGTACCAATTTATTTCATACTGCAATTTACATTAGATAACTACAATTACAGTATAGAATAAAAGAGATTAGGTTCTCCTCTGAACAAGACCGGTTTTGTTCATCACAATTGCATTACGGATTACAGAATTTGTGGCGAGAACCAGCACTGGCCTTATCAGCAACCCATGTGGATAAGGTCCCAACAGTTCAAGTTCCCGAATCCTTCGTATGAATGTACCAATTTATTTCATACTGAAATTTACATTAGATAACTACAATTACAGTATGGAATAAAAGAGATGAACAAGACCAGTTTTGTTCATCACAATTGCAGTACGGATTACAGAATTTGTGGAGTGAACCAGTACCAGCCTTATGAGCAACTCATGTGGTTGAGGCCCCAACAGTCTAAGTTCCCGAATCCTTCGTATGAATGTACCAATTTATTTCATACTGCAATTTACATTAGATAACTACAATTACAGTATGGAATAAAAGAGATGAACAAGATTGGTTTTGTTCATCATGATTGCATTACGGATTACAGAATTTGTCTCGAGAACCAGTACCAGCCTTATGAGCAACCCATGTGGTTGAGGCCCCAACAGTCCAAGTTCCCGAAACCTTCATATGAATGTTCCTCCTAGATTGTAAGCTCGAAAGAGCAGGGCCCTCAATCCCCTCATGTTTTGCATTGTATTGGTATTGTTCTGTCACATGTTCTGTCTCCCTTTGTAATGTACAGCGCTGAGCGAACTATTGGCGCTTTATAAATACTGTATAATAATAATAATAATAATAATGTACCAATTTATTACAGTATGGAATAAAAGAGATGAACAAGACCGGTTTTGTTCATCATGATTGCATTACGGATTACAGAATTTGTGGTGAGAACCAGTGCCAGCCTTATTGCCAACCCAACTGTTTATTTGGTTTGCAAGCAAGAAGCTGGTTTTCCTTCCCTGGCTCTTTCCATCCATGACTCGAGAAGGTAATAGATAAGGCCAGCTGCGGCTGAGAACTGACTTAATAAACCGCCGCGCAGGATTTTGGTTTAATCATGCGGCTTTCTTAAACAAACTGTTTTTCCAAGGCCATTACAGAGCCCTGATATGTTTATCACAACAAATAGGATGGCCCCCTCCGAACAGAGGAATGCTTAATGCAGGGTAATCAGTTCAACTCCCTGGCAGAGAAAGTAATTCTATACCCACCGAAAAATCACCGGCCAATATTCATTTTTTATTTCCAGAGAAAGCTTCATATTAATCATTTTTGAAAACTGTTTCCCGTTTAACATAAACTTTTTCTTCCTTTTTTTTTTCTGACCAAAGTTCCTCAACTAAGTTCCTCGAGAATAATTATTTCAGGTTTGGCTTTCCTTGAAAGTACACTGGATGCTTGACAGGTCAGGCAGTCCTAGAGATGTTTGGCCTGGCAGAGAATTCTAGGACTTGCAGTTCATCATCAGGCTGCAGACTGGCCGCGAGCAATTTACAAGCGCTGGGTAGGAGGTCAATTTTTGGAGTCGCAGGTGAAAGAAAAACATGTTTCTATCAAATCCCGGGAACTGTTAATGCCTTCCGGGAAACATTTCAGCTGCGCTAAAAATCAAAAAGTTGACTTAATTTACTTTTCTTCTACATTTTAATGAATCTCTACAAAATCAATAAACGTTTCACACGTGCGTCGGGCTTCACCCTATCGCTGCACTTTTGTTAATTAAAGATTCTAGTTGATCTTCGGGCATTAGAAAAAACACGACCCTTTCCCAGACATCCCCTTTAAATTATTATTATTATACAGGATTTATGGCGCCAACAGTTTGCTCAGCACTTTACAATATAACGGGAGACAATACAGCAACAATACAGTTCAATACAAGAGGGATAGGAGGGCCCTGGTCCTGGGAGCTTACAATCTAAGAGGGAGGGGCTAGTGGTACAAAAGGTAACAACTGTGGGGGATGGACTGTTAGGAGGAATAGAAGATTCCATTATTAGCTGAGGGCGGGATAGGCTTCCCTGAAGAGAGGTTTTCAGAGATCGCATGGGAGAAGCTCTGGAGAAGTCCTGGAGACGAGCATGGGAGGAGGAGACAAGGGAGCTAGAGAGCAGGAAATCGTGCGAGGAGCGGAGAGGACGGTTTGGGTGATATTTGGAGACAAGATTGGTGATGTAATTTGGGGCGGAGTTATAAATGGCTTTATATGTTATTGTTAATGTTTTGAATTTTATCCGTTGGGCAATGGGAAGCCAGTGGAGGGATTGGCAGAGAGGGGTGGAGGACACTGAGTGGAGACCAGTGGAGGGATTGGTAGACAGGGATGGAAGACACTGAGCAGAGGAATTGGCAGAGAGGGGGTGGAGGACACTGAGTTGAGGCCAGTGGGGGGATTGGCAGAGAGGGATGGAGGACACTGAGTGGAGGCCAGTGGAGGGATTGGTAGAGAGGGATGGAATACACCGAGCAGAGGAATTGGCAGAGAGGGGTGGAGGACACTGAGTGGAGGACAGTGGAGGGATTGGTAGAGAGGAGTGGAGGCCAGTGGAGGGATTGGTAGAGAGGGATGGAGGACACTGAGTGGAGGAATTGGCAGAGAGGGGTGGAGGACACTGATTGGAGGCAAGTGGAGGGATTGGCAGAGAGGGATGGAGGACACTGAATGGAGGCCAGTGGAGGGATTGGCAGAGAAGGGTGGAGGACTAGGCAAAAGGGACATATGCGGCATGGGAACCAGGTGGGATCCGATGGTGTATGCAGAACCCGACTCTCATTCCCGGGGATGTCCGGAGCTGTGAAGGTGAGTGTCTCTATGTTGCCAGGGGTGTGTGTGTTAGCAGAAGGTTCTCTTGGGTAGGGGGTCTGGTGTTTTGTCACTGTCTGGCTCTCTCCCGGGGGTTAGGGGGCTGGTGTTGGTCGGTGTCAGGCTCTCTCCACCAGGGGGGGCATCTGATTTTTGTGTTGCCTAGGGCAGCAAAAAACCTAACTACACCGCCGCCCCCCCGCCTACTGGATTCTGGGGACTTTCAGGATAGATCGGATCTGCGGAGTAGGAAGCATAATGGATCGGACTCCAATCCATTATGCTCAATACGCAGATCCGATCCATCCTGCGGGGATCGTTGGCTTGCTTTACAACTTACCTTTTCGTTGAGCGGGTCCGGTGTCACCCCATATAGGTTGCATGCCGACGATCCCCGCAGGATGGATGGGATCTGCGGATTGAGGAGCATAATGGGTCGGAGTCTGATCCATTATGCTCAATCTGCAGATCCCATCCATCCTGCGGGGATCGTCGGCTTGCTTTACAACTTACCTTTTCATGGATCGGGTCCGCTGTCACCCCGTGTGGTAGGTGTCACCCAGTGCGGCGCGCATCCCCCCCGCACCTGCCTAGGGATGCCACTGTAAGGATATAAGTACGGCAATCACAGTGAAATATTATGAAGTGATCCATTAGGGAATCCACCACCTCTGTCAGATGTACACTCACCAACATGTCAGCACATCTCATCTGGGTACAGGTAACAGCAATGAAGCCTCTGCAAGGGATGCTCAGCCAAGGGCAAGAAACGCAGGTGGACCCTCTCCTATGAGGAATAGCTCACCACAGGAGCCAAAAAGTAGTATATAGTGTAGTATTTTATTAAATAATGAATAAAAGACAATCCACGTGGAAACAAGTAAGAATGAAGGTAAACTGATGGCCGCCGTTCCGACCTTCAGCAACGGCGGCATGACGTCAGCAAGTGCAGCTCCACCCTACGTGTTTCGTGCAAATGCACGTCTTCAGGGGTACGCTCACTTTTTTTTTTTCGCCATATGTCAGATTGACATAGAACGTGCTGGGGGGTTTACTGGCTGTAGAGGAATAAAAGGTCAAAAGTCAAAACCAGCCGTTGTAAAAACGTCCCGTGTGCGTGTGTCGCCGAACTGTATGAACTTGCCGTGACTTTTTGCTTCACAAAGACTTGTTTTTGGCATTGAGACGCAGCGGGAAAGTATCAGAGCTTTTCCCGAAAGCCTCTCATTACTCTAATTAATGCTTCATGTGTAACAGATTTGTCCTCACTTTCCTGTTGGAAAGAAAAAATGATCAAGTGAGATTTTGTCGCATTTTATAAGATTTGTTACTGGCTGTCGGCTTAAAGTGCTGAGTCTTCAGCCCGGGACTTTATCTGCGGCGCGCAGCATCGTGCCGCTCCTGCAGGACGTTCTGGATAATGTGAGGACGGGGGTGCGTGCGTGTTTTTTGTCAGGGATTAATGTGCGATCGGGATGTGGTCCCACTAACATCCTGTGTCAGTTTTATAGTCTTTTCGTGGAAAACGTTTCAAACATATTTGCAAAGTGCGGCCATAAAAAAGCTTCCGATAGGTTGATTTCTTAGCCGCAAATAACGATGTTTTAATTGCCCGCGGGATTCGTTTGATTAGTAGAAATGGGAAATATTTTCATCGGTAAACGCTTTGTGTTCTGCTGTGCTGCAAAGTCATTCTTAACCCGGGTTCACACTGACGCGGTGTGGAATTTGCAACGTTTTCTGTGCGAATTCCGCACAGCAACAGAATCGCACCCCGTTCAGGCGAACCGCTGCGGGTGTGTATGTTAACAACACCCCCTGAATGCGGTCCGCAAAATACGGTGCGATGTGCAGAATCGGATCACATAGGTGTGAATACCCATGCGATCTGATTCTAGTGCGGCCCCAAAAAACTCTTGTGCGTTTTTTGGTGCGGGTGCGATTAGAGCCATACAAAATGTATGACTCCGATCGCACCGCACACAAATCGCATGTGATTGGCACAGGAATGTGGCGTGGTTCCTGTGCGAATCACATGCGATATACCGCACTCTTCCCAATTTTTCTTTATTAAAAGTCTCGCAATCAATAAACATAAAATATTATACAGAATATAAAAAAATTATATATATTTACAGCAAAACGAAAATAAACATAGCAAATCTGCCGTCAGACAAAAGCAAACGTCTCAGAAATGAACATGACATAATTGGGGAAATAAATCGTACTACCACTCACATCACTACACCAGACATCAAACCTGTGAGGTCAAGAAACCACCCCGCCCCCCTTATGCATGCAGCCCTTCTTCAAAAAAGATCTTAATCAACAAAAACTACGGGAGTGAAAAGAACAGCATAAGGAAAGACCCCCTCACCCAGAGATGGACAGTTCACCAAAGGCAGGTCTGATATTCCTCCACGCCCTTATCCAGACCGCCCGAGGCTCCCTGCCCTTCTCAAGACCCCGAATCTTCCCAACCTCACCCAGAATATCGTGCACCACCACCTCTACAGGGAGGACTTTCTTCCGGATGGTAATCTGACACCGTGCGTTCCATGTGAAGTAACGGACAACTATACTAACTAGAAAAAGTGTATCCAAATCAAAGTCCCAGTGAGCTGGGAATGCCCCGTACACCCACTCTGCATAACTCATGCGATAGAGAAAGGGGATGCCCAGAGCCCTCCCCACCCTTTTATACACCTCTATGTTAAAGGGACACAGGAGCAGAAAGTGGTCCATAGACTCCACCTTACCAACACACTCTGCTCTAGGACAATCTCGATCATCCACAGGGCGGTGCTTCAGGTTCCCTCTCACATAGAGCCTTCCATGGAAAGCGAGCCAGGCTTGATCCCTAAACTTCAAAGGGATTCTCTCCAAGTTAATTAAACGCAATCCCTCCCTCATTACGGAGCCTGGGCAATCCTTTAAGGCCAGTGACACACTGAAAGCAGAAGCCAAAATCCTCTCCCCCAGAAGCTTCCTGGGAAGGGACCTGATATCCTCCACTGTCACCTGCCACTGCCGAAGTATTTTCAGACACGGGGCAACATAAGCCGGGAGCTTGCCATGTCGGACTCTCAGACTTTTCACTGGGCCGCCATCTTCCCAGCAATGCAGAAAAGGCCTAAACCAAGACTGAAAAATACCCACCCATCCCGGCGGGGTCTCTGCTAACATATTACCAAGATTGTACTTTAAAAAGAGCAAAGAAAAGAAAACTATCGGGTTGACCATTCCTAGGCCACCCTCCCGCCTGGACAGGTAAGTTACATTGCGTTTGATCAGGTTCAGCCTATTTCCCCATAACAGTGGAAAAAAAAAAACAGCTGTAGACCCGTGCATAGAGAGATACTGGCAAGATACAGACGAAGCTGACATATAAAAAGATCGGGATCAGGTAAGTTTTGATCAAGTCAACCCTCTCTCTCAAGGAAAGCCTCCATCTCTTCCAGCTTGCTACTTTGGCATTGGCAACTACCAACCTGCTTTCCCAGTTTCGATGACCATAGTCACCAGGACCAAATTTGATGCCCAAAATTTTAATTTCCTGCTGGGGCTCTGGGAAGGCATCCGGAAGTTCGAAGCTTTCACCCTCCTCACCCATCCAGAAAACTTCACTCTTTTCATGGTTGACTTTAGAGCCAGAAGCCTCCGTGTACTGCTCTATCACAGAGACCACCTCCTGCGCCTCCTCAGTCCCAGAGATAATAACAGACACATCATCAGCATAGGCAACGACCTTCAAAGGCGGCACACCAGCAATGCCCAGAGGCACCCCGCACAACGATGCGCCCTCTAGCCTTCTTACAAAGGGGTCGATTGCGAAAGCATATAGCAGGGGGCTCAAAGGACATCCCTGGCGCACACCAGAGCCGACCTCAAAAGGCCGCCCAACCCAACCATTAACAAGTGGGAAGCTCTCAGCCCCTTTATATAATGTCTTCAGCCAATCTATAAACCTCCCCTGCAGGCCGTATCTACCAAGCAGCAACCACAGATATTCATGATTCACTCGATCAAAAGCTTTTGCCTGATCCAATGCCAGCAAGTACTTTCTCCATCCAGCAGCCCTGCATCGTTCCAAAGCCTCCCGGATAGCCAAAACTGCTGAAAAGGTACTTCTACCTTGGACCGAACAGTGCTGATGGCTGGACAAAAAATCGCCTGCTACTGACGACAAGCGCCAAAAAAGAATCTTTGCCAAGATCTTTCTATCAACATTGAGAAGACTGATGGGGCGCCAGTTCTCAATCATTGAGGGGTCTTTACCTTTTGACAGAAGAATCACAGCGGATTGCCTCATGGAGGGAGGGAGCGAACCCTCTTCTAGACAGCTGTTAAAAACCTCCGCTAAAAAGGGAGCCAGAATGGACTTAAAACACTTGTAAAATTCAGCTGTCAATCCATCTGGCCCAGGCGATTTTTTGGTAGCCAGCTTGTCTATAGCATGAACTACCTCATCCGCTGAAATTGGTTCTGTCAAATTCATCAAAAGCAATGCACCATTTCCCAATCCTGGAGTAGAATCCAGAAAGCTTTCCATCCTGTCCCGGCTAAGGTCCTTTCTTCCCAGGAGGTCTGCATAATACGACCCAAAGATCTCCAAGATCCCTGATCTGGACTTTATCAGGGAACCCGTACTGTCTTTCAGGCCAATACCGTCTTAACTGCTATGCCTTGCTTACAGTTCTGGTAAGGATCAGGTGAGTGATATTTCCCATAATCCCTCTCCAGAACCAAGGAGGCATGCCGGTCGTATTGACACTTCCTAAGAAGAAGCTTCACTTCAGAGATCTCCCCTGGATCTCCTCCATACGAGACAAGACGATCAAGCTTCCTCCGCAAATGCTGGTAGGCAATATACATACCAAGCTGCTTCTTCTTACTTATGGCCTTGAAAAGTCCAATCGCCCTTTGTTTCACAAGCTCCCACCACTCTGACTTACTGCTGCAAAAGTCCAGAATAGAAACCTGTGCCTGAAAAAAATCCTCAAAGGATTGTCTTACCTCTACATCTTCCAGGAGAGCCGAATTCAGTTTCCAGACACCCCTTCCCCTGGGTGGAGTGTCCGAGGCATTCAGAGTCACAGACAGCATACAGTGGTCAGAGAACTCCACCGCCTTCAACTCAGGAGCCGAGAAAGCAGAGTTCTCCTTTAAAAAAAACCTGTCTATCCTGCTCTGACTATTCCCTCTCTGAAATGTGAACCCCGTGCTGCCAGGGCAGTGCTTAATGTGCACATCTACCAGGCCTGCCTGTCTAACCAAATCTCTGAGAAAAACGCTATCATAACCCAGCCTGTCTATGGAGCCTCTCCTGTCTTCAGGCCTAATTATGGTGTTAAAGTCACCTCCAAAGACAACCTGCTGGGACGTAAAAAGGAAGGGCTTGATCTTTGTGAGGAGGCATTTCCTGCCCCATTTTGACTGGGGTCCATAGATATTGATCAGGCGCAGGTCCTGCCCCCTAACAGAGACGTCTAAGACCATGCATCTCCCCATTTCTACCTCAATTACCCGCCGGCACGTTACCATATCGGTTTTAAAAAGGACCGCAACTCCGCTGCAAGGTTCAGCCGCAAGAGACCAAAAGGAGGGACCACATCTCCACTCCCTTTTTGCTAGATAGACATCGGCCAATGTATTGAGCCAGGTCTCTTGCAAAAAAATAAAATCTCAGCATCAAACTCGCTGAGCAAAAATAAGGCCGTATCACGAGCTCTTGCAGATTTAATGCTGGCGACATTAATGGTCGCCACCTTTAACAGAGTGGGAACTGCCATCAGGATGATTGGGGTAGTCGTTTCTTAACCTCTACCACACTCTCATCACCCGAAACAGCTCTCTTCAGAGTATGTGACTCCCCCTCATCCATAGATGATAGAGAAATGGATATATCAGATACCATCTCATCACCTGACAAAACTGAAAAAGTATTGCCAAGAGGGACCCCTCCTGGATCTGATTCTGAGGAAGAGAGGACAGCTCTTCTCATCCTCCTCTTCTTCTTCTTCTCTCTTCTCCTTCACCCTCTCCCACCCCTCATCAGCCGAATCCCCCCCAGCAGGAGGTGAGACATGGGACATGGATACCCCTCCCTGAGCCCCATCGGCTCCACCCCCATCCGGCACCCCCACAACCTCCTGACCACGTTTGCGCTGACGGGGGGGACAGGTACCGGAGGTGGAGTAGGCCGAGAGGGAAGATCCACTAAACCAGCCCCCCCAGCAGCTTCCGCCAGTCTGGAGGATCTACGTACTGTAGGATTAGGGACAGGAGGGACAGACTCAGGGGTGACATTACTGGGGGAAACACAATCTGACACAACAGAGGGAACAGACACAGGAGGGGCAACTACAGTTTCCTCCCTAGCATCAGCTGCCTCATCCTCTTTATCCAGCCTCTGCAGCTCAGCCTCCAGTCCTGGCAGGTTGTGTAGTGCCTCTGGGCACAGACTGTATGGATGACCCAGCTGCTGGCACAAATTACACCGAATCTCGGTGCATTCTTTGGCCAAATGGCCAAAATCCTGGCACAGTGAGCACTTCTTGATGGTGCAGGACGATGCAAAATGGCCTTTCTCTCCGCATTTGTTACAAACTTTAGGCTGACCTTGATAGAAAATGGTCAGCCTATCCCTCCCCAGAAAGGCTGAGCAGGGAAGATGCTGAACCACATTGCCCAGCACCCTCAATTGCACTGACACCGTCCAGGCCCCTGTCCATATCCTATGCTCATCCAGGACCTTCCGCAGTGGGGTGAGGACCTCACCATGTCGGCGTAGCCAAACTACTAAATCAGCCTCTGGTATGGATTCATTCCGGACCAGGATTGTCACCGATTTTATCAAAGGCTGTCTGGAAACAACCTTTGCCACCAAACCTTTCCACTGCTGAAGGCTCCTGCACCTCCAATATCTCTCCCAAAACAGGTCCAGGCCTTCAGGTTTTACAAATGACAAATCGTATTCATAGCTGCCTACTGGGCAGATCAACGCAAACACATCACAGGCTTTAAACCCCATCTCTAGAATCAACTCCGCCACCCTCCCCTTACTGGTGGGTTCCCTTCCCCCTCCCACTTCAACTGTACCACATTCCTTCTCCTGACCCCACCAACCATCCCACCACCAAACCTCCCCAAATTGTGACCATTAGCATTCCCAAACACTACCCCCCCCCCCCTTGGTGCGACTCCCCAAAACAGAGGCATAGCTCCCCCCAATCCTCCCAGCAGCAGAAAATTTGTGTGTCTGGGAGCATCTGGTGCAACTCTAGCAGATACCGATTGCACAGATCCGGGATTGGATGGTGTATCCTCTCTCTGCTCAGCAGGGGGAGAAATGTCATTTTTACCTCTGTCAGCAATGTTAACCCCTTCACCTCCACCCACCACCAACACATCCATTGCTTTACCAGTCTCAACAGTCATAGACTTCACAGCAATGTCCGCACTCACTGCTGCAACCATAGAAGCTCCATCAGTCATCTCTTGCTCCAAGAAAGGAGACTCAGCCCAGGACTGGATTGGATTCTCAGACACAGCAACAAGTGAGACATCCATGTGTGCTGTTTGCTCTCCATGTTGTGCAGTGTGCTGCTCCCCTCCCCCACCAGCATCAATCAGCTCTGGAGCACCTGGGAGCTCAGGTGAAACAGTCTCTCTGCAGGTGGCAGCATCTTGCCTTTAGAGGGACTACTGGTCTCAGCAGGAACAGCAGCAACAATTTCCATCTGTGGGGTGCTTGGTGCAGGTTCATCCACATTCCCCTGATGGTCTGGAGACCTCTCTGCCAGGGATTTTTCCTCCAGGTTGGCTGAGGATTCCTCCACAGCAGGCTGCTTGCAGAGCTCCTCATCCGCAGTACTCACCGCAGCAGGTGGGGCAGACATGCTGGAAGCAGCCATGTTGGTGTACTGGGATCTCTCCACCAGTCTTGGCTTTGCTGCTCTGAACCTCCTCTGTCCATCCTCAGGGACTTCTGCAGGGTCATCAGTGAAGGCAAACTTGTCTGCTCTCAGGGGTGACTCCATGTGCTGGATGAACTCAAGGTTCCATATTCACCCTCAACCCCCTGGCTGGTTGCCACTGGTGATTCCACAGCCTGACATGGGGGGAGAGACGCTGATGTAGATGGAGCCGGGTCATCCATTACCTGAGGCTGCTGATCCACAGAGCTCACTGATGTCTGGCTGGCAAATCTCCTCTCATTATCAAACTTTTCTTTAAATGCTCCACTTCTAGCTTTCAACTTTTCTAATAATAAAGATTGTCTCTTTACTTTATCCTCCATGTGCTGGAGCGCTGGCTTCATGCCCAATCTGTTCTTGCTCCAGGCCTGGCAGTATTTGGCTCTGAAGGATTTGTGTTCAGATTTTAAAACAATAAGTTTCTCCTCAGCTCTTCCAATAGTCACCAATCTATCAGTAATCTTCTGCCTGAAGACATTGACATCCTCACCAGGGCTGGGACCCACAGTCAGGTCCTCCACCTCCTCCTCTTCACTAGGCCCGGTCTCATCAGGGGAATCCCTCCCAGGGCCTCCCCCTGGATCAGGCATGGTTCCTGGGCCAAGCTAGCAGGCAAGGCCCAGGCTTGAAAACGCTGGTTCTCAGGGAGAGCTCCTTCAGTGTGTCCTCCTCCTTCTCCCACTGACCACCAATGACATTCTTCCCACTGACATTCTTCCCACTGACCACCAATGTAAGGGACATTCTTCCCACTGACCACCAATGTAAGGGACATTCTTCCCACTGACCACCAATGTAAGGGACATTCTTCCCACTGACCACCAATGTAAGGGACATTCTTCCCACTGACCCCCAATGTAAGGGACATTCTTCCCACTGACCACCAATGTAAGGGACATTCTTCCCACTGATCACCAATGTAAGGGACATTCTTCCCACTGACCACCAATGTAAGGGACATTCTTCCCACTGATCCCCAATGTAAGGGACATTCTTCCCACTGATCACCAATGTAAGGAACATTCTTCCCACTGATCACCAATGTAAGGAGCATTCTTCCCACTGCCCACCAATGTAAGGACATTCTTCCCACTGATCACCAATGTAAGGGACATTCTTCCCACTGACCACCAATGTAAGGGACATTCTTCGTACTGACCTCCAATGTAAGGGACATTCTTCCCACTGATCACCAATGTAAGGAACATTCTTCCCACTGACCACCAATGTAAGGGACATTCTTCCCACTGATCACCAATGTAAGGGACATTCTTCCCACTGACCA